AAAAAAACAAAAAGGTCCTCGCTTTCAAAAATCGATTCTATCTAGTGTAAAACCGGTATCCAGAAAAAAGTGAGATCTAAAACAACAAAAAAGGTCCGAAAATGGCAACGGGTCCAAAAAAATCGTTGGGGGTCAAATTTTCCCAGGGGGGGTCAAATTTTTCTAGCGGGGTCAGGATCAACGAGATCAGACTATGTCAGAACCTATGTCTTTTACTATAAATAATAGCTTATTAGATATAGTTTGTTGCAGACAACAAACTAACAATAATTACTAGAGAATTCGCCTTAGCTAATAGTCTGAAATGGATAACTTCATTCTGAGTGCAATGTCACGCAAATAGTTTTTATGGTTCCACTTCGTATTTATCAAAAGTAAACACTTTTGAAGAATTTGAGCGTATTGGTTTTACACAATAGATTGTATTATTCTTGGTGGACTGGGAAGTGTAATTTAAACTTAACTAAAAAAATGCGAAAAGAATCGCATGCAACTAATGATGATCAATTTATCCCACCTGTTAACAAAATATAAATGAATAAATAAATTATGTATACAAAAAAAGTTGTGTATGCTTAAAAGAGTTATAAAATAAAGAGTAATAAAATGCGGTTTCAATTTTCTTTACTGAGAAGTTACAACCATTCATATGCAAACAATTTGCTGTGCTATACTATTTTGTGCAATGTATCGTTGGATTTTTTCTACACCATATCGTTTTCTATTGGAAACTCAATTCGTTTGACTGATAAGCAAAATTCCACTTGGCGAAGTTTTGATGGACATTTCGATCCATTAAAATCAGTTTTTGTCTCGATTTTTGAACGCCGAAAATCGCGAAATCTAGCGTTGTTCTAGGGTCGTGGGGTAGGTGCGTGGTACACTAACGCTTTTTCACATTTTTCATCTAACGTTCTGTATTCTTTATTATTCGTTATCCCTCATGGCCAATTACGGGTAAGTGACTTTTCTCCTCCGTTTTCGTCCGTCTGTCCGGTTGTCCGAATCAAACGGACAAACGGACGGACGGACAAATCCCAATCATAAACGGACAAGCCACTCGGACAAACGGACGGAAGGACAAACAAACGGAGGAGAAAAGTCACTTACCCGTTTTGGGGTTCGTACATTCTCCTATATGTATTGAGATAATGATACCTATCTGTGATGTTTACACCTATTTATTGTGAATTTTGTATTGATCTTTGTCATAGCCATCCATTGAGTTGGCGAGTTAATATTCCAGTTTTTGAATCAATTTTGAATTAATTTCATATAAACATCAAATGCTCCCCCCTTATACGCTTCAAATAATGGCCAAATGTTAAACTCAAAGCACTCTGCAGCTAACATGGATCTGCTTAAACCGACGTTAAACTTCTCGTCGATTTATCTACCGGTATAAATTGAGTGACGACTTTTGCTGTCCCAGAGTCTCTAATTAAAGTGTAAAACTAAACGCATCACATAACCTTTGTCCCTTCGGAAACGTTTACCAAAGGTTATTTTGGACCGTTTTCTATCTGACTACTATCAAGCATTTCCATCTTGGTTGTATGACTATGTTTTCGTTTTCATGTGCCTACTGTTGTGAATACTGCATAATTTATGAGGAGATTCAGGTTTTTAACGAGGCGAGAACTGAAAGTTGAACTAAATCTGTGTGAAATATTATTATAAATTGATGTAACAGTCTTGCACTCTTTTCCGGCCAAACACTTATTCAAACCTCTATTATATTCAGCCAGAGCTTGGCGGCGTTAAATAAAAATAAAATGAAATAAATTAAAATTGTTAGCATCGCCCTACGACTGCTAGTGTCAAACGTAAATGCACAACAGCGACAAGTCACATAATACTAAACGCATCCATTCTTAATGGGAACCTAATGTAATTTTTTCGCGCGAAATTCGAAAACAATGAAAAATGAATGGGTGCGTTTTATATTACGCAGCATACTAGCGATGGTTGGCACCGCCGGTGAATGTGCTGCACATTCAGCAAAATATAATTAATGTGCATTGTGATTATTATCCAAATGCTGTTTTAAATGGTATTTTGATCTTATACTTGATCACATCCGGCCGCAAGACATCTACGATAGTGTATAGTGTTTTTCAATTTATGGCTTTGTGGCATACGTCAAACTACTAATCATCACCTGATCACGTGTTTTTTTTATATGAATGAGAGATATAATTGCTTAACATTGACAACTTTGGTTCAGTTTGAAATTTTAGATTATATTCGCATTTGTAAGGAAATCCATCTCAATAGCTTCAGATGAAACTTTAAATCTAAGAATTCGGTTGAATGCAATCACTTCCCTTCACGATGACTCATTACAGACTTGACAAACGTGAATGTCTGTTGTATAATTTGTGGAACAATGTGTAGTTTTTCTTATCAATTTACAGCTTAATAACTCAAAACTTTGCTTTGAAGTACTTAACCCGATTAATTCCAGTGTAATTATCAGCATTTCCTGATTTCTTTCAAAAAGTCGAAAAAGTTGAACTTTGTCAAAAAGCGATGAAAATGTGGAAAAATAATACCTACGAAATTTCATGAAAAACCCGATGTGGTGACTTGATAAACAATGGTCATATTGTTATACTAAGACTAAAAAACCACTTCAAAATATTTGAATACAAGAGAGGTTAAGAGGTTTTGTCTGATACATCATATGAGAATGATAATTTATTATAATATGAACGCGATTTTTGACATAGAATCGAACTTAAATTTATAACGAATACGAATATGACTCAGAATTGTTATATGCTGACGACAAGCTTAAATATAAAAAATGACTTTGATATTGTGCATACATTCATCAAAATCGGTACTCTTTTATCGAGACGTCACTAGCGCATGCCAAATTGTTTGCGCATTGTGCTTCATATCGCTATGTTTTTTTTTCTCTATACCCTTTGAGTCAACTATAATGCTTCACTGATAAGAATAACTCCACTTTGAAAACTTTTCGCAGAAACGTATGAAAGTATTTTTGATGTTTATCAATCGTCATTGGATTCTCCACCATTCAACAATAAAACTGAATATTTTTCATTCCCAATATTTCATTTGTAAGTATTAACTCGTTCAGTTTAGTCTTACTGAACTGAATAAGTTTTTTTTTCTATACGAATTGAAAAATTTGCATCGACGTACCGCTCGTTCCTCTTCTATATTGGAGAAAAAATAATTTTTCACAGTACTGATATACTTTAATTTACTTTGATAAGACTTTTTAATGAATTATATTATAATTATAATTAAAAGAGCTAGTGAAAGAGTGAAAAAGAACTATCATTTTTGCAAAAAGAAAAAAAATTAGCAATAAATTATATTTTTGTTTGTATCATAATCTTGCAAATTTGAACCATGATTTTTTTTCTTCATAGAGTGATAAAGGTGGAAGCTACTTCAAGATGCAGGCCGGCGACTCTTCACACGTTCGCAATAGTGGACAAAAATCCGTGACAAACATCGATAAACTTCAGTTATTAATATGGAAGAATTTTTTAATTCAATGTCGTCACTATATCAGAACAATTATAGAAATTATGCTGTTTGCTCAATTCATATGTCCTTTATACTTTATTGACTTATCCAACCAAAAAAACATACCCGACGAGTATATCATCAGAATGTATGAAACGATGGGGACTATTGTGGGAGTCTTAATAGTTTTGAGCTTCATGTTTCCCACTGTCAACTCCGTTCGTTACATTACGATTGAAAAAGAGCGACAGTTAAAAGAAGCAATGAAAATAATGGGATTAGAATCGTGGATGCATTGGATCAGTTGGTTCATACGTATAATGGTTTTCATGATCATAGCAATGGGAATTATCGTGGCCTTGTTGAAGGTAATTGTTGTTTTTTTCCGTCGTTGTTTCGTGATTCATCATTTATTCTGATATTACTACATTATCTACAGTTATCATTATATGCGGATTGGTCAGTGCTTTTGGTGTTCCTGTTCGTATACAGTATTTCGATGATAACGTATTGCTTCATGTTAAGTGTATTCTTTTCCAAAGCAAACATTGCTACAGTCGTAGCAGGAATCGTTTGGCTTGCTTTGGTCGTGCCTTTTTCTTTTTCCCTGGAAACAGGCACATCGAAAGTGTTGTCATGTATTTCGTCGAACACTGCAATTTTGTTTGGATTTAAATTGATTTACAAATTCGAAGCAGTTCACAAAAATCAAGGTGTGCACTGGTCCGATTTTTGGGAGAAGCCAACATCTTCCGATAATCTCTCACTTGGGATCGTTACGAGTTTTATATTGGTTACATCTCTTCTATACCTCCTAATCGCTCTCTACGTCGAAAAAGTTTTTCCCGGCGAATATGGTGTGCCTGAAAAGTTTTACTTTCCATTCACGAAAACATTCTGGTGCGGCATGTCAGCTGATGAAGCAACGGAAAATGGAACAAATCAATTAAATCCAAACTATGAAATCGATCCGCGGAATCGTCATGCAGGAGTGAAAGTGAAAAATCTACGCAAAGTTTATGCCAACAAAAAGACAGCCGTTAATGGCCTAACACTGAATATGTTCGACGATCAAATTACCGTCCTACTTGGCCATAATGGGGCTGGTAAAACCACAGCGATGTCTATGTTGACCGGAATGTTTCCTCCAACATCAGGAACGGCCACTATAAATGGACACGATATTCGAACAAACATACAGAAAGCCAGAAGCTCACTTGGATACTGTCCTCAACACAATATTCTCTTTGACGAGCTAACTGTAAGCGAACATATCGAGTTCTTTGGCCGATTGAAAGGATTGAGCAAATCCGAAGTCAAAAATGAAGTTAATAAATATGTAACACAATTAGAATTGGAGCACAAGAGAAACGCCTTATCACAATCCTTATCCGGTGGAATGAAACGAAAACTTTCCGTTGCCATTGCTTTGTGTGGTAATTCAAGAGTAGTGTTCTGCGACGAACCGACCAGTGGCATGGACCCAACGGCTCGTCGTGCACTTTGGGATCTGTTACAGAAAGAAAAAAAAGGGCGCACCATTCTGTTGACCACGCATTTCATGGACGAAGCAGATGTGCTCGGTGATCGCATAGCAATAATGGCTGAAGGAGAGCTTAAGTGCTACGGAACATCATTTTTCCTGAAGAAACGGTTCGGAAGTGGCTATCGCTTAGTATGTGTTAAGAGTGACGGCTGTAGGTCAAGTGATGTGACTAAAGTTTTACACGAATTCATTCCCGAGGTTGTGGTTCATGAGGATATTGCCAGTGAACTTGTGTACATTTTACCCGTTGAACATGTGAATCAATTCAAGAATGTATTCGAAGTGTTGGAAGAAAAACAAAACGAGTTGAAACTGAGTAGCTTTGGGGTTTCGATGACTCCATTGGAGGAAATCTTCTTCGCTGTTGCATCTGATTCGATGATTTTAGACAAAAATGATAACAATCGACATCACAATAATAATATAAGCACATCCGATCCTGAGTCATCGGCAGCAGATACTCCGCTGTTGCGTGGTTTTAGTTTGCATATAAATCAATGGCACGCCATGTTTAAAAAGCGATTCTTTTGCTGGATGCGAAGTTGGATTATGGTCCTGCTTCAGACTATAGCCCCCGTATGTACAGTTACAACCATCATTCTATCCAATCGTTCAGTCGTAAAAGAATTTGGTGCTTTGATTGTTATAGTATTTTCAATTGCTGTGGCCTTTGTGAGTTCATTCTATATACTATTTTACGTGAGAGAACGATCATCAAAATCGAAGCTGTTACAATTTGTCAGCGGAGTAGACATTCGTACATATTGGATATCCTCATTTCTGTTTGATTTCATCACATATCTGGTGATTGTTGCAATTTCAATCATTCCATTGATCGTGTTCCGTGATGAGATTCTGAATGATTTAACACCATTAATAGCTGCTCTTCTCACATTTGGACTCTCAGTATTCCCGATGATATTTTTGCTGTCGTTTTTGTTTTCGTCACCAAGCAAAGGACTCATCGTGATGGTCGTGTTTTCCGTAATAATAGGTTAGTGGATTGATATTTGCAATTTTTTTATTGTTATCTGGGGGGTATTTGGACCTTCCTTTGCAATTCATGTTAATACATTTATCAAAACATAAAAATTTCTCTCATTTTTTTTCTCCTAGATTTTGTTCTTTGGTTTATTCAGTACATACTTGTCCAACGTAATCTCAGTGAAACAGCAAAAATACTTGAATGGATTTTCCTTGCGTTGCCACAGTATTCACTACTTCGTTGTGCTGAATCCTTAGTATCCAACCAAACTCCAAGTGCCAATGTTTACGATTGGAAGGAGCCCGGCATAGGACGACACTTAACTTATATGAGTGTCAGCGGTTTGGTGTATTTTGCTCTTCTTTTCATGGTCGAATTTCGAGTATTTTCCAAGGCTACGCAATGCATTCGTGGAGCTTTCGAAGGAAAGCTACCCAGACAGCCATCGGCACAGGGAATTGATGATGATGTCACTGAAGAGAAGAAAAAAGTGGATGCAATGTCCACACAAGATTTACATGTGAATAATTTGGTTTTACGAAAACTGTCCAAGTTTTATGGAAAATTCTTGGCCGTCAACCAAATATCCGTCGCGGTCAAAAGGTATAACTCACAAAAAATTTGCGTTTGACATTTGATATATTGAATGAATAAATCAACGGGATTTGTCTAGAGCTGAGTGCTTCGGGCTTCTTGGTGTGAACGGCGCGGGCAAGACATCTACCTTCAAAATGTTAACGGGTGACGCGAGTATTTCGAGTGGTGAAGCGTTCGTGCAAGGCGTTCGATTGAAAACGAATATGATGCAAGTAAGAAAAATCATTGGATATTGTCCTCAGTTTGATGCTTTGCTTGATGACTTGACTGGTTCGGAAACGCTTGAGATATTTGCTTTACTGCGAGGAGTTCGTTGTGAAAACATATCAGTGTTGAGTAATCGTCTGGCAAATGAATTGAATTTCCAAAAGCATGTTGACAAAAAGGTTCGTGAGCTCTCGGGCGGCAACAAAAGGAAATTGAGCACGGCTATTGCATTAATTGGCAATCCGATGGTCATTTATTTCGGTAACGCATATTTTGAAATATAAATGAAAAATTTGAAAATCCCCGGCAAAAATCAATTTTGCTTCAATTTTATTCCAAGATGAACCTACCACGGGCATGGACCCGGCCGCAAAAAGAAATCTTTGGTCTTTAGTATCGAAGGTTCGCAGCTCAGGTAAATCAATTGTGCTCACATCGCACAGCATGGAAGAATGCGAAGCGCTTTGTACTCGCCTGGCAATCATGGTAAACGGAGAATTCAAATGCCTGGGCTCAACGCAACACTTGAAGAACAAATTCTCCAAAGGTTTTTGGATCACTATCAAAATAAAGGAAAATATCGAGACTGAGTAAGTATGAAAGTATGATGGCATGAAACATGTGACAGTCGAATCAATTTGAATCGTTAGAAATATTTTAAATTCTGTTCGATACGAATTCTCAATTGTTAGGATGGAAAATGACGCGTTGAAAATCAAGAATTTCATTGATCAGAGCTTCCCTGGAGCAAATTTGAAGTGAGCATATTGAATATAAACAATGATGTGGTTTTCAATGTGTAATATTCATATCTTATTTGTAGTGAGGAATATGTTGGTCTCATGAAATTTTATGTGCCACCATCTGACTTGAGATGGTCATCGGTTTTTGGTATAATGGAAAAAGCCAAACAAACGATGCCAATTGAAGACTATTCCATCGGACAAACTTCACTGGAACAAGTGTTTTTGTCACTCACCAAACTGCAACGGGATCAAAAAGTTACCAAAGTATAATTTGGCGATGACAGAAAGGCAATGAACACTAAGTAAAATCGGAGATAAACTTATGTTGAAAGATGTATCGAACCATTTTACTAATTAACTTATATATTTTTTGTATCATACTTTTGTTGAATCTAAAATGTGACGTTTTGAACCTTATAAAAGGAATTATACTATTTTATACGTAATATTTAAACGATATTTTACACAATTTTGTTGAACTTTTTTTACTTTGGTTTTTAAATCAATCATTTCAAACAGCAGGCAAGTAAATTTAGTCTTACCCCACTTGAAATAAACAAACACCAGGCGTCCGCATCCACACGAGACGAGTATAGAGCATGTAAATATCCTATATAAATAGCATGCCATACGGCACAATACATAAAGAGACATAAAATAGTCTCGGTGAGCTCATGGTTCCATTCTGTTCCATTCGCAATTTGTATTTCAATACAATAAAGCGAGCAATTGACTAGAGAATGCTCCCTCAATTGGTGTATACATATGTGCTCGGTGTTAAGTACATGGATTGTATTCTCCGCTTGACGCACGCATACAACGATAATACGGCTTGATGTATGGATTCGACTATATAGGTGAATGGTGTTACACGAGTGAAAGAGACGAATACACGAATGATGCACGATGCTGCTTATTAGTAAGACGGAAAACGCTTCGTTTTATTGCTGTTGATTCTCTACAACACTCGAACCCAACACCAATACACACTCGCATCGGAGCACATCAAATCCATTATGAGCACTCATACACACAGCTGTGTCTGCATGTAATGCGAGTATGATGTTGTGTACACAAAAATCAACGGTACGAATGAATAGCCAACATTAGCGATGCTTCAGTTTATTTGGATCTATCGCTACTGACGAACAAGTGAAAATCAAAACACGGTATTTCGCTCGTTGTGTGATTCGTTAACAAACGAACGTATTGGAGCCATAAGTTTCATCGACCACTTTCACATCAATTTTAAAACGAATCAAAGAAATAAACAAACAAATTCATCTGATTGAATTATCAAATCTCGTGTGACTTATTATTGAAAATTGTTGGATTTTGGATTACCATTTTTTCTTGGACCGACGAGGCGATACCGCGCCGCACGACCAGAAGTAAGTGCTAGAAACAAGTAGTTTATTTAGTGTTTGTGAAATCAATTAGTTAGTTTTCCTCTGATTTGAGGTATTTGATTTCATTCCGTTTCGTTTAAGTTCATTTAATCGGAATTTGTGTTGTGTATGTACACAAATTGACTGTTGTAAGAGAGTGAACCTCAGACGTTATTTCTTGGAAATCTATTGACAAATGAAGAGAACTACGACGACTATTGATATATTAGTGAAACATTTTCGTCTCATTTGCTCTCATGCTCGCCCGTTTTTTTTTCTTTGCTTTTTGCGAGTTTTTGAGTAAACACAGTGAACGTCATCATCTGGTCGACCGTGTATTTTACGGTTTTTTGTTCGTTTGTTTCGTATGCTCGTTCGGCGTTCGACGCACGACTCAAGGAAATATTATTTTAATTATATCACAATACACTTGCATCGCGTTCGACCAATCGACTGATTTCATCGGAACGAATATTTTAACAGACGAACAACATATTGAACGTCGAAATGTGTAGAAAAAAAGTGCCACATAAAACGCAAATAAATTGCGCTGTCAAGTGAAAATAATGAAATCAACGTCAAGATCACCAAGTGCTACACTAAATTCGAAAAAAACGAATTGAATTGAATCGAATCGCAACGTTGTTCCTTGTTTACACATTTATTTTAATGCCATTTTAAGCGGCGGCATTCCCGTTCTAACTCTCGCAACGGGTATTCCGGGGAAAATTTGAAATTCATTCTCGCACTCGGAAATGCTTTTCAATTTCGAAGCACACACAGTTCGTTTTGCGTTGATATCTCAATATTGAATCGTTGTGCTCAGCATGGATGGCGTAAAAGTTATGGATTTCGTGTGCGATTCTTTTTTCTTCTTCGCTTGCTCGCTCAATCTTCCTCTCTCTCTCTCTCCCTCCCTATTCCAGCGATATTTCTATTCACCTTTCATCACTGCTCGGATAATATGTAATATTCTATTGATTTTTGTGTGTTGCGCTTCCATCTAGCATGTTACCGAATGGATTCCAAAAATCGGGTACGGTGAACCTTGTTCTATAGCATAGCCCCATTACATTCTCGCTGAGCATTCGAGACATTACATGAATGTTGAATGTGCGTAAAATTTTCCATTGTGAGAAAGACTATGTAGTATATATCGGCTCTGGCATATTCTCTCTCTTGCCATGCTCTGCTCATATTCATACTTGTTGTGTGTTTCGCCAGCAGTTATGCGTAATATGAGTGGACGTTTTTTTTCACGTTCGCCAAAAAAAAACACAAACACATTCGTTAAACCATGTCGTCGCTTCTCTATGCCAACAACATCTAGCCCACTTGAATACGGAAAATATGCTAGTTTCTTAAAGGAAATTTATACGCGTGCACTCCGACTTAATCAAAACGAACTACTCGTTTTGATGCTACTGCTCACCCTCCTTCCTGCATTCGATTACATGGGTTTTTTGATGTTCATGGATATATCGATGGCGTGTTTAATAAGTGGAAACCGCAACTATGGCGAAATAATCACTGCTTTTATCTCATCTCCGATCAATAAGATTGGATTTTCATGTTTTCATCTCATCTCATCGCTTTATATCTCCCTATATCGCCATGTACGTCGCTTCGCTCCATCCACGGCTGCAGCCACAGCCGTACACATTTTATGGTTCTTATCCGCCATTTACATGTAACAAGCATAGTAAAATGTGGAAAAATTTGCATAAACACAGATGAAAAAAATACTGATAACAATGCATCCACAGCCACATGTCTGCATGTAATAAGAGCATTCATCATTTGTTCTTGGTGGTGTTTTACAGTTTTGTACAATTCTTCTGAAAGGTTCGTCTCGCATAAAAGGAGACACAGAAAAACGTTTCTAGATTAGAAAATGGGATCTGCATCGAGTTTGTAGATACAGTAACAATGAAAAACAGCTGAGATTGCAGCGCATTTCGTTTCACTCGTTTTTTTTCTCTTCTATTACATGCGAAAGATTACATTTTTACTATGCAATTCGTCGTGCTATGACTTTTTGATGATAGAACTGCGTTAATATTGCATTTTTTTCCACCGTCATGAACTCGAAAAGCACACGAGTGGCTTTTCATTTCGACGGGGCGTTTTATTAGTTGTGTTTTGCCAGCGCCAGTTCACTCGCTCGTGCTTTGCGACATACTCGACATTTTCAAAGCACTTCAAAAGTTAAGTTTCAACAATTCATTGTTGTTTTACTTGATTGCGGTAACTTGTGTCGATCTACAACACACTCGCGCACACACACATATACATAAAAAACATACACAAACCATCAGGCGAACGAGAGAAGGGTTCGAACACGAGGAACAACACTAGAAAAAGACTGGTCTCTTACAGTTTTAAGATTTCAAAAGTTTATGACATTGATACAGCACTCCACCAGAATGTTTAAAGAGACCGCAAAACTGTGCTTCGAAAGGCATATTGCCTCGGAAAAACTTTACAATTCGTTTTTCGTTTGCATTCCATAATTCTTCTTCTTCTACTTCTTCTTATTAACCAAATGAAAAGCGTCGTGCACAAAAGATTCTGCGCTCACACAGATTTTCGCTTTCTTTACATTATTCCCGGCGCTCGGCAGAGAAAAGAAATAAATTCACTAAATATTTCCTTTGTCGTTTTGTAAACAAAGATTGAGTTTGTTTTCATTTCCTCCTTTGGTGCAGCCGCTTGATGATATGAGCCAGAAGCATACTATCACGCGCGCGAAACCTTCGTTAAATTCAGCTCGATTATGTCCTTTGAATTATTAAAAAAAAAGAGTGCTCTGCCGCACCCGCGCATCTCATGTCATATATTTCACATAGAACCATTTTTATTTAATAATCTTTAATAATAAATGTATGCGCACGGCACGAACCACCGGCTCACCTCACTTCACTTCACCTGCACCGCCGTCATCGTGTCGGCCAAACACGAACTACAAAGATTTCCACTGTGTACTTTTGATGTTTATCGGATTTACTTCGTTCCGTTCCTCAGCAGGAGCAGCAGCACCACCACCACCACTTAAACTGGGTATAACATATTGTCATTTTTCATGCAACACTCCTTCGACAAACTTCGAATACAAAGTGAAATGGCGCAATACATACACACACAACACAATGCTTCGCAGCATAAATAGAATTTTACTGGAGCGCGTGTTTTTTCTCTCTCTCCCTCCCTCTTTCATTTGTTCCCTTTTTATTTACCAAATAAAAGCAAAGCGAAAACTTTTCTCTTTTCATTTTTTTTTGTCGTTGTGCTCTACCAAATGAAAATGAACAACAATTCGCCATCATTCTTTCTCTCATTTTGTATTGCTATTTATGTTTTCATTTTCTGTTCGTACGAATGTTTCATGTTGTTTATTTTTCGCAGCACAAGGAAAAATCGTTGTTGAAACTCGTGGTCCCAGGCAACAATATCCATCTTCATAAGATCACCGCCGCTTTGGTAATTGAATGGTGAAAGCACTCTGTCAACGGATTTCAGATTTTCATTCGGTTTTTCCAGCATTTGGTTGTCGCGACTGATATTTTTTACTGGTGCAAAAATTCGGTTTTTCATTATAAAAACGGCACCTTGCCATATTATGCAACGACGTTATGTGTTGTGCAAAACTATAGTTATATTTTAGTTGTTGGTTGAACTTTTTTCCGCTGGTTCGAAAAGTCTGTGTCGATCATGGAAATAATACCGTCAGCATATTGAGAATGGGAAACGGAATGGCGCGAGAAGTTTCATTTTTCTCATCTGTTTGGCCGCGTCTTATGGGCAAACCGTGAAAGCTGAGCACAGAGCAGTGTACAATGTGAATGGCGACACAAGTTTTTCCTACCGAAAATCCATTTTCTTTTCGCCTTTACACACAAATCCTCTCGACGAGCTCAACTATTGCTATATGAAATTTTCTCGCGTTTTCGGTGTCATCGTTGTCGTTTGTTTTTCCTTCGTTCATTCTTTCATTGTCTCTCGTTCTTGAATCGTATTACTTTTCACCGAAATAATTTATCGGTTTCCAGAGCATTTTCCATTTTCATTCTTTTCGCTTCGA